GTGTTCTCATTAATTTCTATCAATATTTTATTTTCAGGTTGTTATATTGTCACTTATATACAACTTTACCAAATACCACACAAAAAAAAACTTTAAAAATTAAGAGGAATTAGCTTACTATACTTTCGACAAAAGAAAAAAAGCTTACTATTCATCCTCAAAATAACTATGAAGAATATAGCATATAATTTGAAGAAATTGGAAAAATGAGATAAGGGTAAGCCAAAATTACCATTTTAATTTTAGATGGTTTACTGAGATTGTTTGATGGTTGACAAAATGGTGGTGGTCGGACATGGTGATTGCAGTGATGGTCGAAGGTGGCGTTTGGTGGTCGGAGATAGTGATTAAAGTGATGGTCGGAGGTGCTGTTTGGTGGTCGAAGGTGGTGGTGGTTGGTGGTCGGAAATGGTGGTGGCCGGCGGTGATGGTGACCGGTGGTCGGAGATGGTGGCGGAGGTTGTGGTGACTGGCAGTGGTAACAGGTGGCCGGCGATGATGGTGACCAGTGGTTTGAGATAGCGACGGTGGCTGACGATGGTAGTATAGATATGAGGTGATGGAGGTGGTTGGAGGTGGGGTGGTGGTTATAGGAAGGAGTAGGGGAGAGTGGGGTTAAACCTGTAAATAATACAGAAAATTTAGAGAATATAATCTTTAATAGGTTAGTATAGTTAGTTTGTGAATGATAATATTTTTGAAGGTTATTGGTGTTGATGACAAAAAAAAAAAGGTTATTGGTGCCAAAATCTCTAAATGGTAATTTGTGACAGTTGTGGGTGCTGAAGAAGGAGAAGAGATTTTCGAGTGTTGCAGCTTAATTACGGCGGATTAGATAGATACATATATCCTCCATCATTATTGGTTGTTCTTTTTCACTATCCAACATTATTACCACACTAACATATGCATTATAGACAAGTTCGTTTATAAAAAATGGACTTAGGGGGGGATATTGGATCTATGATTTGGGATGATTTTTATTTTTTAAACAATCTCTCTATATTGGATTGGTGATTTTCCAAAATCCATTAAAAGTCTGCCTTATTGAACTCAGTATTTGTTTAAATGATTCAAAATCTAAGGTTATTCAATTATTCATTTATTAAAATCTTCTCAAATTTCAGGTTATTGGAAAATTGAGAATTCACAATGAAATTGTTCTAATAACGATTTGAGATGATTTGGGTAGCAAATTATAACTAAAATAGATAGCCTGAAAATCACACCTCCTATGATGATATTTGAAAGAATTTTTAAAGTGACCTTCATTTCTTTTATTTTGTTTACAAACTATACGTCGGCCAGTGAAGAGTCGTGTTGCTCCGCCGCAGACAATTCACG